GGCATCTATCATGTAATGTCCCGAAGGAGCAACACCGTCATTACCCAGAACAGCAACACGGTTCTGACTCTGCGCCGAAGGCAGCGCTCTCAAGCGTGACTGTGGACCAGCGGAATAACGTACATTGTTGTTAGGAGCGGTGTTTGGGTACCTGGGTACCAGTTGACGCTGGTCAGTATCTCTTTGGGGGCAACTGTTCTGAAAGTGTCCCATCATTCCGCAGCGATAACATACTGGTCTCCCATCTCTTGATCTTTCTCGGTTACCCCGAGTACCTTGTCTGCGTTGCGCTAGACCATTTATGCGTGCGTCAAATCGTCGATCTAGGTTTTTAATTTGGTCTTGTAACTGACCCTCCATACGCTGCATAAGGCTCGTAAGCTCGTCCAGTTTTCGTTCATAGTTTCCTCGGGGCTCTGAACACGCAGCAACCTTGTGTGTGGTTATAGGTGTCAGGCCGTCTAGTCCTTGAGTCAATTTCTCAAGATGAGCTTGAATAAGTTGAGGCTGAAGGGTATTACGAGCACTATTAGATGGTACTTGAGCTGGTACCTGCTGGCTACGGTTGAGCGCCTCGATCAATCGCTCGATCTGGTCACCCTCTTTAGTGGTATTCTCACGTTGAGATATCGAATTAACGGTCCTAGCCACTTCCTCTGCTTGTAAAAGCGTTTCTGGCATTCGCTCGAGCACTTTGATTTTCAGTGGTTGGGTTAGACCCTCAGTAAAATATGTAACTTTGTCTACCTCGGCCATGTTTAGCCCGCTAAATAGTTCGTGCATGTCATTGATATAGTCTGACAATAATTCGTGGGGGCCTTGACGGCGAGCAACTAGCCTCCGTCGCTTAACCCAAGCACGGTCCTTAGTCGAATAACGTTTCACCAGGGCCTGTTTTAAAAGCATAAAGCTTCCTCGCTCCTCAGGCGGTAATTCAAACATGAATGTTTCTGCTGGCCCAGCGAGGTTATTAATGAGCTGTGTTCTGGCGGCTGGAACATCCAGTGGAATTCCCTTAGACTCCAAAACCAACTCTAGTTTCTCAAACCAGCGGTTTATATCCTCGTTCTCATATCCGTGATATTTATTAATGTGAACATCCTTACTCAATAATTTCTGAGTGAGTTCCTGAAGGGCACGGATGTATTCTCCCTCCATGGTAGTTGAAATTGAGCTATCAGCACTGCTAGAGGTAATCGAACTGGTATCAGCGTCAGTAAGGTTTACGAGTAAGGGACTCGAATCAGCGTTGGGAGAGTCGTCACAGAGTGATCCTCCCTCGTAACTACCACGCTGGAAATGTTCGTAAATGTCGCCAGGTGAAGTAATAATTGGCAACTGTTGTCCACCAGAAGATGTACTGTTATTCGCTACGAAAGTTGTACCAGGTGGCGTGAATGACGTATGATCAACGAGGTGTAATGTACTCTCTGGTACCTGTTGTCCACCTGTCGCAAGGGCGGTATCTGTAAAATTTTCCTCTTCCTGGAAAATGTCTATTTCTTCTGTTAACGTGTTTATTTCCTCAGTATCCTGGGTATTACCAGGGCAAGGTGGCTCCAAACTGTCAGAACTGTCTTCGCTAGTAGAAACTTCGCTGATATCTACAAGTTCCAAGTTGGTCTTGTTAAACTTGTCAGAGTTTCTTTGATGGTTTTCTAATGGCTCAGAATCAGTGTCTTTTTCGGCGGTCGGTCCCTGTCTTACTTCCGGGGCTATGTCACTTTCGTCGAATGGCAAATCGGTCTCAACACAGGCGTCCACTCTCGTAGGTGGCGTGTTTTTCCCACGTAATTTTCCTTTACTTCTCAAATTATATGGGTTTGTTTTCTTTCTGAAAAACCTCGACATGAAATGGGTAACGGTCTCTCTCTCGTTTCGGTTTTTGTTGTGTTTTTTTTTTTCTCTTTTCGTTTTGCTATGTAATTCCACTTACTTGGGCGTCTTCTTTCTTGTTCGCTCCAGGGGTCAAACCAACTCTTCGTGAAGCACTTCTCTCTGATAGTCTTTCCGTAATTTGCCGCTCTCCTCTACCAGTGTGAAAACAGGGTTTTGCCTTCACAAATGAACGGACGGACGGGGATAACTCTTAAAACTCTTGTGGGTAAAGGCTCTCCTTGGGGGCACTCGCTGGCTGCGGGAAGGTAACCGGAATCTATTACGGCTGCTGACTATCCTTGAGAGAATGACTAACAACAACAGGGTTGGCTCCAACGTAGATTTATTCCGCAAGCTCGACTACAATTTTGACCAGAACGGACCTGGCCAGGGCGGGTTCGACCCCGTTCTCTTCCTCACTTTCTCACCCAACTCCTAAGCTTTACAGAACAGTCCTATTTAAACCTAACGTACATGGATAACGTAATGTCATGAATAATCTAAAGGATCATGTAATCTACTAAACTATTGGCTTAGTAGGAATTTCGCCTTTACAATATTAATTACTTTTAAAGAGTTCCGGTGGATAACAGTTACACAAAAGGACATGACAGGTGGCTGTTACAGTTTAACACTAATAACAACTGTTTACGGGTGACTGAAGGAGAACTGGTAGCGTTTACGCTTTGCTGATCTAAGCTTTCTACGTTGAATATTGTATTTTTGAAGCGCAAGCATGAAAGAACTCGATAACTAAAAATCCTATCGTTACACAGCGCATCCAGTTTTCTTCGTCTGCCTGAATCCGGTAGACCAGTTTGATTGCCATCATGAGGTGTCTCCTCGTCTCGTAGTCGGCCGTAACCCGTGTACCCTGCATGATGTGACTGCTCTCTTCATCGCACTCCTCGTTGAATGCGGCCACCTCGTCCATGGTGTAATCCATACCCGCTTGGTGCACCCTCCCACTGTTTTGGCCATTTCTTTCAAAGGAGACAGATTTTTACACGGCGAGACATTTTCCACTCTTCTCCACGCAAACATTCTTACAATATTGACAACAATCGACTTCATACTTCAGGCAGGCAGAAATTAAAAACAATAGTGGTATAAACATAAGAATGAAGCAGCAAAGCCAAACCCAAATCGCCATTGATTGGATAACGTGAACAGCCCCACCCTTATCTTCTATACTACACCCTATAGTGCTTCCATATGGTATAACCCCTCGAGGGGATGGGGGGGTACCCCCTACAATGTTTCTATTTAAGGTAAACATGATGGCGTGATAATGTTTCCATTTAAGGTAAATGATGACGTGATAAGACACTTGAATAGTTTACGCACCTGTCGATAGAATCCATCAGTTTTTCCAGTCATGGATCAACACCAAGATATCTCAGATAAAGACCTATTACAGGCAGTAGAAGAACTTGAAGATGCAGGGCAGAGTGCTGGTAGTAGAAGAAGGAGAAGAACAAGAAATTGAGAAGGGTACTTTACCTTCAGCCGTACGCAGTTCAGAGAGAAGACAGCCAAGAGTTATGGTATTAAGCGCACCTCATATCATTTACGGGTAGAGAATCTGAGAAACACATTCCCTGTTGGGCATGGTAACATTGTAAGAGCTTTTGGGGAAGGTCTTGCGAACAGCATAGAAGAATTAATTGATGGTTTGCCAAACCATGACAGAATCCAAATCTATCTTGGCAGTAGCCGCCTGCGTAATTCCCACACCTCAGCACATGTTTCTGTCGAACAATGGTGTGACCCTTTGGGTGCTTTGAGGCAAGTACTTCGAAACATCTCTAATTTGCTTAACTCTAATGAAAGTTTTCAATTAGACGACACATTGCGAAGTCGAAAAGAAGTGTTGTGCGCATCATGAACGATGATGATCTTTGCTGTGCACGAGCCATAATGGTGGCTAAAGCCATAGCGGATAAAGATTAACGGTTAAAACTCACAAAAGATTCAAGGATACGTGTGCAAGGAACTTTGGCATGAAAGTTATAAGAAGAAGCGTGCGTTCCCCTAGGTCCTTGTGGCCTAGACCAAATAAGGCTATTAGAAATCATATTGAATGACTATCAATTTGTCATCGTATCAGCAGAACATGGACATGCTATTGTTCACAAAGGTCCACCCAGTGAAAAACAAATCATGTTACTCATGCATGATGGGCATTTCGATGTGATCACTAAACTACCTGGTTTCTTAGATTCTAGTTACTTCTGCCTCAAGTGTGAAAAGGCCTATTCTTCGGAAACCTAGAATCATCATTCCTGCCATAAAACTAAATGTGATGCTTGTCTTCAAAAAAAATGTCATGACTACAACATCTTTAAACACACTGAAAATCCAGAACTGCCATGCAAAGAATGTAATAGAAAGTTCTATGGTGTGACGTGCCAATTGAATCATCTGACTCAGAAAGCCAATGGTCAATCGGTAGCGCCCTTGGAAAGGAATGTGTGTCAATCCCATAAAAAAACGTCCCATTTGTCTGCATCTGTACACTTCTACATCACAAGAACATGTGAAACATTGTGGGCTTCAATATTGTCCAAATTGTTCGAAGGAAGTGATCATTTTACAGCACAAGTGCTTCCTTCAGTCCACTGATGATGACTATGATAAGAAAAACACTGTCTTTGTGTACTTTGACATTGAGGCGCGTCAAGACACTGGAAACCATATTGCAAACCTATTATGTGCAGAAACGGATCAGAACAATCAACAATTCACCTTTAAAGGCGAACAATGTGTTGAGTCATTCCTTCAATGGGTTCATACCCTAGCTAATGATGAAACTGTAGATAAAGTTATTGTGGTAGCCCACAATTTCAAAGGCTATGATGGTTATTTAATTTTGGAGGAACTTTACAAACAACATACAGGCAACTTGCAACAAATTTTCAATGGAGCCAAAATTCTAAGTTTGGAATTACCAAACATCAAATTCATCGACTCGATGAATTTCTTCCCCATGGCATTGGCAAACTTTCCCAAAACATTTGGACTGAATGAACTAAAGAAAGGCTTCTTCCCACATTTCTTCAACACGCAAGAGCATCAAATCTACGAGGGTTACATGCCAGATAGAAAGTATTACGACCCTG